CATTTTTATTCTTCATCTTAAATATAGAAATTTTAGTGGATTTTTATAATTGTATGGAATATTGGGTTGTAATTGTTCTCTAAAAACTTGGGACTTATCATGAAAGGATTTGGGTTTATCCTTTGAAAGCTTATATGGTACAAGTATAATTGTGAAGCATTAACTATATTTTAAAAATAAAAAAAAATAAGATTACCCTTTGGCGACATGTCCAGATAGGTTCCCTGCATCCGCAAGTGCCTTTCTCCAGGATTCAACGTTTCTCCTCTCATACTCGTGTTTGGCAAATGCTTCTCCATATTTCCYTTTTTGATTTCGGATTTCCGAGGGATCAACGTGAWAAAATATGGGRATAACAATTTGGTCTCTCTCAACCTTGCATTTCATGATATGTTCAAGTTCTTGCAAGCACCAAGAAGAATCCGCATAGTTTWCAGAGAATACAACGASAGCAATCTGTGAGTCTTCAATAGCCTTCAAAAGCGATGGACGGATGGTTTCGCCCCGAGGAAGTTCTTCGTCATCCTTGAAAGTGCCGATTCCATTATCTACAAGAGCTGTGTAAAGATGGTCCACAAANTTTATTTTAAAATACAAGACAATTAAGTGCAAACATAATAAAACAGTTTGGACCTTATAATTTTACTCCATCGAAACTAATGTTTCAGACAATCTACACTTAATCTCAATGGGAAATATTATTTATTTCTTAATAGCCCAACTAACAAACAAAATCCTCCGAAAACCATAACATAATCTTTATTGAACGAAAAAAAATTATCTTAAACAAAAAGAAAAAAAACTTCTTTTCCATTCACAACAACGAATAACAATAATAAAAATAACAATTGTCATGGTAGTAATCAGTTTCACCAAAAAAAAAAAAGGTACGTTTATATAGATATCACAAAATATATATAAACAATTTATATAATATATGGCTGTCAAACCCTGAGTTCTAGAGAAACGAAAAACGATAATAATCACGAATCTAAAGAACAATAAACGGCAGCAGAAATCTCAAACCATTGATATCCAAAATATATATATATATCATCCATCGAAATTGTTTCACACGATTACTCTAATCCAAAGTTTTTTTTTTATTCATTCGAATCATTGGCGACAGAAAAAAAATCCTTTTAAATCCCCATAGCAAAACAATTCACCTTACGAAACAATTATACCACAACAAAAAAACTAATTATTTCTAATAATTCAATGTGAAAACGTGGCTCTGATACCACTTGTTGTAAAGATGAAGATTATCACAATGAATTATTAAGAACATACGAATAAGAATATACGTACCCGTCTCCATTAGTTAGGCTTGAGTATGAAACGTAAATCCGAGGTTATGGCTTTCCTCAATCCTTGATGTCCTTCCAATGGGGAGAGAATGAACGTATTGATTTTGGTGTGTGGGAACCATAACCCTAGCCGTCTTTATATAGGTTATAATTAGGGTTCCCATTAAACCCTAATTATAACCTAATGGGCTTCCTCTCATTAAGTCCATACCAAATTGGGTTCTAATGGGCTCTCTTTAATTAATCACATAATTAGCCTATTACTTAAATAGCGTAATATAATTATATAATAATATGTAAGCCCATAATTATTATTGGATTTATAAATAAATCCCAACACTTAGTTCTTATCGCTTCAATCCTGTCATTTTTCTGTTATAGAGAAATAAAATGTTGTTAGGGTTGATTTAGGGTATATCTTTATGGGTATACATATATCATTCATGGCATATATAACTTATGTACGAGGCTAGCTTAAACATTACAGTCGGTGTAGCACATATTGTTAAAACATCCTCCCACTTCCAAACCCTGTTGTGTTTTTCTGGATTTCGGGGGTTTTTTCCTCGAACGATGTAGTGTCCCATTTCTTGTATCAGATCATGCATATCAAACCATCCTTGTTTGGTCACAGTTATGAGAACCTTTTGTATCAGCACCCTTACCCCTATTTTAGGGTGAAAACCACAAGCTTCGAGTATCTCCCATCGCTCATCAGGGTACACTCTTCCCCTAAAAAAACATGCAATATCTAGGAACAACTCTTTCTCCTTTGCTTTAAGTCCATCATAGCTAATTTTTAGCGTTTCCAATGTGTCATCTTCAGGGATATCTTTTAGTCTGGCCAAGGCGCTCACCCACTCACTCTTGTCTTGGTCACAAAGAAATGAACCCAAAACCTTAAGTGCTAACGGGAGCCCATGAGCATAAGAAACAACCTCATTCGAAAGACTATCATAATCTTCTATGTGGTTACCATGCCGAAGTGCATGCTTGCAAAAGAGCTTCATAGCCTCGTCGTGACTTAACAAGCTAATATCATATATCACATTTACTCCATGAGTATTCAGTATATGTTGATCTCTTGTTGTGATTATAATTYTGCTTCCTTCATTAAACCAATCACGTGATCCAGCCAATGCCTCTAGCTGCTTAGCATCATCAACATCATCAAGAACCAACAAGACCTTTTTACGACGAAGCTTACCCTCTATCAACCTTTTCACATCTCCAACTACTTCCTCTTCTTTTTGTTTCAAAACACATGAGAGAATTTCTTTTTGCAATTTTTTCAAACCATGCCTGCGTGATTCTTCCCTAACGTTACTCATAAAGCAGAAACCATCGAACTTGCTGGAGATTTGATCATAAACAGCACGTGCAAGAGTAGTCTTACCACCACCACCAAGCCCCCATATTCCAATCATCAGCACACCTTGCGAATCAATTGCAAACTTTGATTTAAAATCTTGCAAGCGATCCTCCATTCCAATCAGGTCTTGATTGTCACTTGGAATTGCCGTACACAATCTTTTTGAAATTTCTTTAACAATATTTTTGATGAATATTGTCTCAGGCCTGGATATCGGATATAAAAAGATAATTAACAAATGCTCTAATTGAGAAAAAACCATTAAACAAGGAAAATGAGTCTAACGAGCTGTTTACTAAACGCTTATTCGGTAAGTCCTTAGTAGTCAAATTTCCTTATCGGATAAAAATGACAAATATTGAGAATCTTACCCTATAAAAGCGATGATAAGGATGAATAATCTTACCTGGTAAATAAGGGTAACAACTCTTATCCGGGTAAACTTTTACCGGACAAATGGCTATTTATTCAATTTCCCTTTCATAATTAATCCAATAGAACATTTGTAACATTTATATGACAACCTAATCTTTATCATGCATTTTCCTTCTTCGTCTTAAATCTATACTACCACTTAAATATAGATTTTTTAGTGGATTTTTATAACTGTATGGAATATTGGGTTGTAATTGTTCTCTAAAAATATGGGACTTATCATGAAAGGATTTGGGTTTATCCTTTGAAAACTTATATGGTACAAGTATAATTGTGAAGCATCAATTATATTTTAAAAATCAAAAAAATAAAATTACCCATTGGCGACATGTCCAGATAGGTTCCCTGCATCCGCAAGTGCCTTTCTCCAGGATTCAACGTTTCTCCTCTTAGACTCGTGTTTGGCAAATGCTTCTCCACATTTCCCTTTTTGATTTCGGATTTCCGAGGGATCAACATGATAAAATATGGGGATAACAATTTGGTCTCTCTCAACCTTGCATTTCAATATATGTTCAAGTTCTTGCAAGCACCAAGAAGAATCCGCATAGTTTTCAGAGAATACAACGACASCAATCTGTGAGTCTTCAATAGCCTTCAAAAGCGATGGACGGATGGTTTCGCCCCGAGGAAGTTCTTCGTCATCCTTGAAAGTGCCGATTCCATTATCTACAAGAGTTGTGTAAAGATGGTCCACAAAGGTGTAGCGAGTGTCTATACCTCTAAAACTGAGAAAAACGTCATATTTCCAAGAGGTGGGAGGAGTGGAGTGAAAAGACGAGGATGAAGATGCCATGGAATGCTTAGTTTGTTTACTAGGAATTGGTTGAAGAAGAGAGATGGATGTGAATTGATGATATGAATGAAGTATAGTTTGTTTAATAAAGATGATGAGACGTGAGACTAGGCGTTTGCAGCAGCCCCACCACATTTTAAAGCAAATTTAAAGGTCACTATGAGATTTAGTGGTGAACAAAGGAGGCATGGCATGCAGAATGTGAAGGCGAACCATTACAAACCATGGTTGAGTTTATTTTGGATCTTGGGTTAAATTTCTACTCAAGAATTATAGCCTAACTTGCAAATCCCTTTTAATGTAACAAAGTTCAGTTTCTTCGATTACCAACTTGTTGAACAATCCCTTGCCTCAAGAATCCTATCTTCTAGGATGAGTCTGTTTAAGAGATCGGTAAATGTTAAGGTATAAGGTTCGATACCTCTTTTGAAGTTTTCGATTCATCAGGGAATCAAAGGTATGCCAGTCGCTGGTTTCTTTTGCTTTGCTTGGGACTAAAGGTATGAACTTGATACCAAGTTAACATACGAAGTTTAAAAGCACAAGGGTGGTGCCTGATTGGTTTGAGTTTGACTCTAAAGATCAAAAGTATGAGGATGTCAAAGATTCAAATCCAAGAAAGAATAAAAATCTCCTTGTGACCATGGAGGTTCAAATGCGGTGACTCCAGGCTATGTGCAAAGTGGTGGTCTCCCTGCAATTAGTTTGGTTCGCATAACAGGTTGGATATAGGTTAATAAAAAAATGAATTCCAGGCATTTCATGATGAAGTTTAAAAGCATAAGGGTGGTGACTGATTGGTTTAAGCTTGGCTTTAAAGGTCAAAAGTATCAGAAGGCCTAAGGTTCAAATCGAATGAAGAATAAAAATCCTCTTGTGGCCACGAAGGTTCAAATGCGGTGACTCCAGGCTATCTAAGCAGGTGATCATCCGTTCTGTAATTAGTCGGCTCGCCTAGTAAGTTGGATACCCTTATCTAACAGATCGAAACATAACGGTAATTGATTTATTTTATTTAACTYTAGATTCTCTCATGATATGTGTGATTAATGAAGATGGAGACATTAGAATTTGAGAATGGTGATTTTTATGGTACATAGACATGATCTATCAACGAGCTCAACGTCCGCCATGATGATCCACCTTCCTTCATTGCACCATGTGCACCCTCCTTCACCTTCGCCAYCCTCTCCCTCACCCTTCTCCCACCATCCCCTTCCATCAACTCCACCACCATCTTCTCCACCTCCTCCGCCCCCACCAACCCACGCGCCACCTTCTCCCTTGCCCACAATCTCAATCCCATCCCAATCTCCTCCACCACCATCCGAGCAKTCAGGTGCTGATCCGCCATCAACGGCATCGCCAACACCGCCACACCTGCCGATAAGCTCTCTAGAATCGAATTCCATCCGCAGTGACTCAGAAACCCACCTACGCTTTGATGATTCAGAACCTSCACCTRGTCTAYCCATTCAGTCACCACCTTCCCTCTCCCCTTCACCCTCTCTTCAAACCCTGCACCTCCTATCMACTCCAACTGCTTCCATYTCAGTATCCACATGAAGTTTACGTTTGACWTCTCCAAACCAACGGCSACCTCACGTAMCTGCTCCGGCGACGTCTCGGCCATTGTGCCAAACGACACATATAACTCCGGCTGAAGCTTTTCGTCGAGCCACTGGACCCATGTCGGCTTTTGATTTTCCACCAGCTTTTGTTTTGGTTTGGCTATACAGAAAGGTCCGACACACCAAGCTTTGGGACCGACTCTTTGGTTCCAGTAATCGATAAACTCTGGTTCCAGTTCGTAGAAACTGTTCACCACCATGCCATGACTCTTGGCATTAGCCGCCTGCTGCTTGACGTGAAAATCRTGCAARGGACCTTTGGGATCAACCTCGTTAAATGGAGGTTGGAAGTCGTTCACCGTYAACTTGAGCCGAGGGAAGTCCGGCACCTGAAACCGCTCGTCATCGGAATTAACCGCTGCATGTGGCTTGAACTGGGTCATGATGTGGTCCATGGTCATGGAGAAAATGTTGATCCCGTAGAAAACCAAACGGGGAATCCCGAGCTTATCTGCAGAGTCTTGAGKCCAACTGAAAAMCCCATCGGAGATTATGCAGGTGACCGGCGGTAGACTGCGAACGACTTCTTCAAACCCAGGTTGGAGTTTTTCTGTGGATTTCACGAAATCAATTAACGACGACATGGATGGTAGTTTACCGGAAACTTCTACCCCGGGAGGGGCACCTGGGAATGGGATATCGATAACGGAGATGGAGCCATCCGTGACGGTGGCTCTAACGGCGGAGTAGTTGGCAGGGGTGGTGATGATGGTGATGGAGATGCAGCGGTGGAAGAGGATGCCGGAGAGGTGGAGGAGGGGGATGGTGTGGCCCTGAGACATTAGTTAATATCGTCGCCATTTTTTTGTTAGTCCGATGGCAGGTGGTGTACGTCGCCAATGGAGAAATTAGTTTTCTTGATGGTTTTGATTTTGAAATCAAGATTTAATTATTTCTTTCATTTATTAATATCACAAAGTTACTTTATCTTGATTTTAATATTTTATTTTTTATTTTAACCGATGTTATAATATGATTTGATGTGATTTACAAAAAAACGATTATATTTTTATTTTAAATAAAATATAAATTTGAAGATATAATAAAAATTTGACAAAAATATATCAATATTAGTATCAAATTAATTATTTAAAATTCCTAT